ATCGGGTTGCCCCATACCACTTACATCACTAGAGTGGACACCTCATTCAATCGCAAGAGCCGAGATGTGGTCGGATCATTTTATGCAAAGGATGCAAGAACTCAAGAGATTGAACAAAATTGAAAAAGAGTCAAATGCATAAAAGTCCATTGGGATACGACATATAAATTTAGTCGACGACACATGTTTCAATTCGTTTTAATTTCTTGTTTAACCGAACAAATAAATGTATATATATATATATATATATATATATATATATATATATATATATATATATATATATATATATATATATATATATATATATATATATATATATATATATATATATATATATATATATATATATATATATATATATATATATATATATATATATATATATATATATATATATATATATATATATATATATATATATATATATATATATATATATATATATATATATATATATATATATATATATATATATATATATATATATATATATATATATATATATATATATATATTTCAATATAAATGAAGTGTTACATATTCACCTTTTATTCATATTTGGTCTTTATGCATATTTGATTTATATTTGGTCTTTATGAAGGTTCCGTTATATGGTTTTATTTTGGAAATGTTTCAGGAGAAGTTCTGGAAATACATCTCTGAAAGGTTCTGCTATATGGTTCTTTTTTTGAAATGGTTCAGGAGAAGTTTCAGAGATAAATCTCTGAAATAAGATAATAGGGTGCGATTCCAAAGATATATATTCAGAGTCAACATGACAGTTAATGAGTGGTCCATATTGAGTTAGGTATTCTATAAATTTAGGTGTTCTTATGTTATATTTCACACAAACTCAAATGTCTCAAATGTCACAAATAACATTCATTGGTATGTCACAAATGTCTCCTACTCCGGCGACTCTACACCCAGAAGGACGTTTAAGCTCACCGATCTCACCCCCTCGAAGATATCTCAGATGAAATCCACTATCTCTTATCTTATGGAGACAAACAAATGATTGTGAAGCTCGAGTACCGTTCACCTTTGGTTGACAATGAAGGACATTTTGTTCAGCAAATTTGAGCTCAAGACTCGTACAAGTTTATGAGTCTAGGAAGCGAAAATGAGTAGACTCGTGCATAGAATCATTTTTTGATAGACTTGAGTAGACTCAGGTAGACTCGCATAAACTCGTATAGACTCGCGAGTCTATAATATTTTTTTGTATTTTGTTTTTTGTGAACTCAAAAAGGCCCAAATTTCCCAAAAGATATTATTTTATTTTTAAAAACCCCTTATTTTTTATTTTTACGAGAATTAGAAATTCTTTCTCCTAGTCTCTTGTTTCAGCTAAGTTTCTTCCTCCCTTCATCCTTTCATGGACGATGTGTGTTTATTAGGTCTCTTGCTTTATTCGCGTTCTTTTTCGTAAATTAATCATTTGCTGTGTAATTATTTTCTAATATACTTCACCTGTATGTTTCTCTTGTATATTCTCTTGTGTAAAGATGATGAATGGATAATTGAAGATCATAATGATGAAAATATGCAAACTAAAGTTAATGTTGTGGAAGTTGTTGTTTTTGTTAATAATGTTGTGCAAAGTGGTGGCGGTAGTGGAAATGTTGAATTAAGTGAAAGTGGAACATCAAGCAATACAACTTTGGTTAATGATGACGAAAGTGTTTCATCAGGGGTAGAATTTGATGATGATACTCAAGATACCGATGAAGATGATGGTGATGATTTCATTGGAGTTTTGGATGTTTAAAGCCATCAACATATATATTTTATGATTTTCTTTTTTCTTTATATAGTATTCAAATTGAGAAGAAATTAGTACTTTCAGTTTTTAAATACATACTTTGTTATTTTGTTTGTTTTATTATTAAGTTTTTTTTTGTTGAGAAATTTGTTATGGAGTATGGAATTTAAATTTTGATGTTAATTGGTATTCTATTATATATATTTGTATCATATATGAGGCATTTACCAGTTTAAAAATACATGTGTGTGTCATGTATGTGTACATATAGGATTTTTAAGTTAGTTTTAATATTCCATAGACTCGTACGAGTTTGCGAGTCGAGTCTACGGACCTTTTACGAGTCTGAGTAGACTCACGAGTTTGACAACCTTGAGTGGATGTTATGACTATATGGGATACGTATTTCGATTTCGAAGAGAAAGTTTCACTCGAGTTGGAAGCGACGGTACAAAGACCGGTCGAAGATATCCTGAAGATGTGCAAGCGTCCACCGGAATATTGAAATGTAATATTGAATTTTTGATTGAAATCATCATTGTAATGATCATTTTATGTTATGAATGTCAATTGCATTTTAAAAAGTTCATTTTCTGTTGAATATGTTTCTAGGGGTGGCAAAATGGATGAATTAGATGTATATGGATTGGATTGTTAATAGATGGATCAAAGCAATCCATTAATCCATTAACAATCCACTAAATTCTTTTAATAAAAATTCAATCCAATCCATTCATTAAAAGATAAAATCCATTCAATCCATCCATTAACGTATTTCTAATGGATGGATATCCATCCATCCAAAAAATTAATTTAAAAATTTTTAATTTAATAAGTGACAACATAATATCCAATGGATTTATAAAATGAGATGGATGGATTGAATTCATTCATATAAGTTAGTGGATGGATGGATTGAATTCATTCATATAAGTTAGTGGATGGATTGAATCAAATCCATTAAATTATTTTGTCTTATGGATGGATTGGATGGATATTATCTAAATGAATTTCATTGTCACCTCTATATATTTCTGGTATTTTTTCGGAGATGTAACTACAAACTTATTCCGGAGATGCATCTCTAGAACAAATTAAACCCAATATATAAGACGTCACTCAGAATTGTCTTTGTTGAGTATGCAAAAAGTGCGTTCAGAGATATATCTCTCAAAATGGAAGCATATTTAAAAATTCATACGATACATTCGAAATATATAAAGTGCAATAAAAACTTATCTATATCCTTCGCCAAGTCTCTTGCATTTGTTCAGATCGGTCATTGGATAAGACCAACTATGCATTTGTTCAGATCGGTCATTAGATAAGGCCAACTAAACAGTGGCTTAAGGCCTCAATTATTTCTTAAATTTAATATAAAAAACATAATATCAAATTTATTATTTATTATTCATTAACATCACTGAATATATTGGTTATTTTCTAAAAATCTTAGTGATGATTAATGCTAATAAGTAATAAACATTTGTATATAAATAAATATAATGCTAAATAAATAATAAATATGAAAATTTAATATTTTGTTTTTTTTCCTACTTTTTTATTTGAGTTTCCTATACTCTCATTCTATTTTTCTTTTTTCTTCTATCTTTTTAAACTTGTATTGTCAATATCTTATTTTACAAATACAAAGAAAAAAAAACGTAAAACAATAGTGGAAGTCAAAGAAAATAGCGACAAAAATATAAAATCAGATTTTATTTGTCCAATTTCTCTAATTTAATTTTTACTTTTGTATTTTGATTTTGTGTTAATTGTAATTCTACTAGCAATTTTAAACCTCTTTAAAAAAATAAAATTTATTGAACCGTTCTTATTTAAAATTCGTCTACGACCTCGATATTGATTAGGCCGGCCCTGCATTAGATTGGTTTGGGGCAGGTTAGGGGTCCCGTAGCTTTTGATTTCAAGGTTTGGGCTCTTTGCCCATTATCTTGTATTAGGTTGAGTACCTTGTCCTCACTTTTAATACAATCTCTTTGGTTATATAAAAAATAATAAAGACATTAAAGTAAAAAAAAAAAAATTAACATGAAATTTTTATCCAAATACCCAATTTTTTCAAAAAAATTTCTAAAATAATTCACTTTTTCAAAAAAAATTTCAAAATATCTCAATTTAAAAAAAAAAAAAATTAGAAGAGTCTTCGGATGAATTAGCTATGATTGATTAGGAGGTCCCGTCAATTAGATTGAAGACTATATATAATTTCTCCAGTCCAATTGGCGCCTACGCCAATTCATTTAAAAATAAGGTGTAATCATAAATTTTCAAACAAAAATAATTAACATTAATAATTAATTAAAATAATATTACATAATTTAATAATTACAACCGAATTAGTCATCGGTTCCACATCTTCTAAGTACCCTTATTCACTGCCTCCATTGTTGATTCACTCCATGTGTTTGAAAATTTGAAGTCTCAAGAACATTCCCAACAGAATCTCTAAGAATTTCTTGCATTTCTAAAAAATCTTGTCTAGAGCGACGACACATTACCATAACTAAGTTCGTGACCTATGCGTCATAATTTAATTTCTCTAATCTAATTGACAACACCTCCTAATGAACCAAAGCAGCCGCCAATTCATCTGAAAACTCCACTAATTTCTTTTTAACTGGGATACTTTGGATTTTTTTTTTGAAAAAATGGAGTATTTGTGTAAAAAAATTCAACTCTAAAATCCAAGAAAAAAACAAAACAGTGTATGTTGTCGAAAAAAATTATTATAACACGATAATTATTCTCTCAAACAACCCACCACCTCCATTACGCATAAATGATGCATTGATATAGGTTTGTTCGCAACCCTATTGATCCAGGAATGCAGTGAAGGAGCAAATAATGCTCCATGTTTACTGCGATTTTTGTTATCTACTGCGAACTGTATTGCTTACTGCACCACAGGCTATTAAAGACAATACTACAGTTAAGAAACTTATAAAATAAGCATCTGAGTCCCAAATAAATCAACCTGAGGGATCACAGGAACAACTATTCCATAGGATTTTTTTATAAATAATAAATCCTGCTGTCACATAGGAATAAAGGATCAAAACCAGCTGATTCGGTAGATTTCTTTTCATTTGTGAGAGAATATACAGTGTATCATCCATGCTGCAATGCAAAAATGTAACGCAGAAAAATCTCTACACCCCGCTTACAACAATGTTTGTTACAACATACCAAATACCAAAATGAATGGGGCTCATGATCTTCTTTCTAACCTCCTTTCACTAGATCTTCTCTCCTCTGCCTCTCGTCTTTTTTGCTGCCTGTACAAAAGCATAACAATGGTAATTGTATCAACATTTAGTTTAATTTGGTAGTAGCTAAAAGTGACTCGTAACTTTATGAAGTAACATTGACAATAAACACAGAAAGAGTTAAACAGAAGATTTTGATTTCAGAAATTTTTTTAAATCAAACTAAGGTAAAACAGAATCTTCAGAAAATTCTTTTAAATAGAAAACAAAATTTATAAACAATTCAGAGAAGTGAAACTATTTAATTTGTGATGGTTGAAAATAGGCTTAGGTGATTATGCAGAGAAAAGATATGTGGTTTCTGTTGTAAAGAGAATAGATCAGATGGAAATTAATCAAACAACTAGAGATAGAAGAAGACCTAGAAAAACTATAGAGAAACTATTGAAAAATATCTCTAGATTAACAAAATAGATGGAAACATGGTATTTTATATAACATAATGGCGTAATTAGATCCATGTAGCTGACCCCACTTAGTGTGATCAGTCTTGGTTGTTGTTGTTGAGTGCACTAAGAATATTGCATATATTGATGACAGTTTAAACTTTTGAAAGAGTACAAAGCTGACACGTGAATAACAAAGTTGATTTAGACTTTAGCTATCTTTAAGTAAATGTGAAGTATTCAAAATGATAACAGGCAAAACATACAAAGAAAAGTCTCAACAAGAACATATGCCAAACCAAAATGTTCAAGGTTGTTGATCAACTTACGCAAATAGCATGTATCCACTGCCAGCATTAGCAGCAGATAAAACTGCTGCATGAGCCCCTGCTGTAGATACAGAATCCTGCCCACCAGAGGGCAGAGGAATTTTTCGATCACCATCCACCTGTCATTCACTAGAATTTAGTAAGCATAAAGATGATGAGTGACACTGTAGTTGCATTTGCATTTGATAAGATAAATACCTTATCCCATTTTGATTTTTTGTTCTGTCTGCCATCCCGATTAATAGAATCAGCTGGAGGAGGCACCAAATGCAAACCACCTGTAGTTGCAGCAGAACCGCCTATGCAAATGTCAACATCAAAGTGCCATAAGAATGGAACATATATTGAAAAATGACTTCTAAGCAAAAGCTTCAGCAGTGCACAATTAAACTAGGTGATTTCTATACCTGTAACAGGCATGCTGATCCTGGGAGCACCGAGCACAATTCCTGGCTGTGTACCACCAGAAGTAAAGTCAACCTTCTGGTTTTGTGGTTTCTTCTTCTCTTGCTCTTTCCTATCACTTTCCCGCCTCATATCAGCTTCTGTTTTGTTTAAGATAAGAAACAAAAGCATGGGGAAAGTAACTTAAAAATCAGTAATTGCTGCAACATCACTAACATTAATAGCAATAAAATAGTTGAAATAGGAAAAGTACTTGCAATATTCACTTAAAACTAATTAGTAAATCATTAATTGCTTGCAATGGATCATGCTAAAATCATGACATACCAAGAATAGAAGCATAAACTAAGCATATATTTGTTTGCTGAGTCAAGACCAACAAAACTTGTAATGAGGGGAAAGGGGTGTTTTAGAAATAACTGAAAGCATCCCATTCCCCTCATTACAAGTTTTACAGGGTGAGTAACTAATAATAACTCAGGAAAAAACTGAAAGCAAATTAAAGATAAGTCTTACAGGATGAGTAAAAAATAAAAATCAGAGGCATCATTAATGTAGTGCAGCAAAAGAAGTCATGATTTCTCTAATTTACTGATATTCAGAAAATGTAGAATGGTCAGTCGTACTTCACCAAGCTTATCATAATTACTCTAACATCAGATATCTTGAGAATAGGAAAACAGTTTGATAGGATACCGGATTTGGGCCTTAGCACAATAAAGAGGTTTGAAGAGAACTGGTTATAACTGCTTATGTTAGAAGGGAAGGGTAGTTATTTGAGGACACAGATAGCAATGCAGAAGGCATTCAATATGATTTATGTTAGGAACCTTTTGGGTTGGGCAGAAAGAGAATCATATCCCCTCTGATGAGCATTTGCTTTGGGATTATAGGGATCAGTCTCTATAATAGTTCTTAATTCGATCAATATTACATTTTCTAGTTATCTTAATTTCGGATCCCTGTCATTGGTGTGACCTACCAGGTTATCGACGAGATGCCGGCATTCGTGTGACTCAAGATGATTGAGGAAGAAGTGTTAGAAGAAGGACTGACTGAGAGAATTGACACGATTGAGGCGAGAATGAAAAGATTGGAGGAGTTTGTCAAACCCTTTAAGTTGGAGTTTCATCAATTGCTGAAGACAGAGATAATGAAGCATTTGGGGCATATTCCGACAGAGAATCATAGCTCTAATTGAAGTGTGTTTCTGATAACAAGTACTAGAAAAGAGCACTGGAGAAGGAATTCCAAACAGATGTAATTTTGGAAAAGGAAGACACGGGGGAAAATAAGAAACAAATCTTGGAACCAGACAACACTGAGGAGGAGAACAAGCCGTGCACAACATGTGACCTTGGTTAAGTTTGCCACTATCAGTTCCACTTCAGACTATCCTTCTCGATTCGAAGCCACAGAACACTGGTTGAGTTCGCCACTATCAGTTCCACTTCCGACTATCCTTCTCGACTAGAAGACGCAGAACACTAGTCTAACTGCGGTGGATCTTCCTCGGCGCGTGTTACGTCCGGTGACCATCCTAATGTTACGGTTAGATAAGACTGTAGACAAAGCACCATGGAGGCCCGATCACGATTCCACCACCACCAGAACCACCGGATGCAGGTTTACAGCTGGCCCTCAACAGTCGCGGGTAGTTATCTTTTCTCCTACAGGGAACAAAATCATCTCATCTGAGTCCCTTTGTATCAAAGCAGATTGGGAGCATTTCATCGCTACTCAGCAAGAGAAGGATCTAGAAAATTAAGGGCAAAAATGGCAATATCAGACCGAAATGGCATTCTAGAAAAAATGGGGGCAAAATGGATAATCTGTGAGTTGGGCCACACTCTAATCCTATTAGATCAGGTCCATAATAAATCTAGTAAGTGGGAGAAAGGAATTGAAAAGTAGGCTGGTTTAATTTCTATTCAGACGGGCCTCTCCGATTTAATTGGGGTAATGGACCAATGGTTTCTTTTGAGCAATTGTTTTGTACTTGGTGTGTGGAGAGGTATGGGGCAGATAAGAGAACCCAAGCAACACAGCCGATATCATTAAAAATGTTAGAAACAGTGCAAATGAAGAAAAATAATGGGATTTATGAGGCAAAACTGTCCGATGCAAATGATTTCAACTCAAGTGTTTGTATTGCAAGTAGTAGAGGTGCCTTATATGGTCACAGAGCATGTTGGTAGCAACAATTTTACAAGGCAATGCTAACCCAGATTCTTGCACAATATGTGAAGAAAATGACGGGATTTTAGGAAATTGTTCATTTGGATGACTGGAACTTTGTCCCTAATAGTGCGTAGGTGTGAGACTGTACAAATGTCCCTTTGGTTCCAAGTCTTTTCGGCTAGTCTCCAACAGTGGAAACCCAGGGTTAATTGTCTTATTCTGAATTACTGTTGCACAAAGAGTTTTTGGCAGAATTCAAGTAGTGGGTACAAGAGGAATTCAAGCTTGGAGGGTTTCTTTCAAGTTTCCATATCAAGAGTTTGTATTGTAATGACACTTACCTATTGTCCTACATACTCCCTTTCTGTCAGTTCTAAGAATAGCTGTCTTGCTATAATTGTTCATATACAAGTCTTTGGTGGCACTTACCTATTGTCCTACATACTCCCTTTCTGTCAGTTCTAAGAATAGTTGTCTTGCTATAATTGTTCATACACAAGTCTTTGGTGGCACTTACCTATTGTCCTACATACTCCCTTTCTGTCAGTTCTAAGAATAGTTGTCTAGCTATAATTGTTCATAGACAAGTCTTTGGTGACTTGCAAGCTGCACATGCCAGGGTTACACAAGTAGCTAAAAATGATAAAAATGTATTCTAGCAATTTTACTTATCTCAGCCTTGAGGACAAGGCTATTTCTCTAGCAGTCGAAAGTGATAGGATACCGGATTTGGGCCTTAGCCCAATAGAGAGGCTTAATAGAGAATTGGTTATAACTGCTTATGTTAGAAGGGAAGGATAGTTTATATAAAGACACAAATAGCAAGGCAGAAGACATTCAATATGATTTTTGTGTAGGAACCTTTTGGGTTGGGCAGAGAGAGAATCATCTCTCTTCTGAAGAGCACTTGCTCTGGGATTATAGGGATCATTCTCTGTAATAGTTCTTAATTCAATCAATAATAAATTTTCAAGTCATCTTAATTTCGGATCCCTATCACAGTTCTACAACAAAAAGTAATATATAAACATGTCCAGCACTACAACTAGTATGTTATCTATTTAATAAATTAATTAAGGTGAAAACAAGAACAAATAACACAGATACCAATAACACTGAAATAAAAGAGGAAGAGACGAGGAAATTAGAGACCTATTTGATCATAGAAGTCACTTGAATCATATCCATGAGGGTCAAATACATCTTTACTAAAGCAAGACCCTATTTGATCAATGTCCTGGTACCTCACAGCATGCAGTAAGAAGTCAGGGTTTCGATAGTCCTTCCTGTTGCGAACTTCTGCATTAAAACTTTTTCCAGCCTTCTTATACTCCAGAAATTTATTTATTTTTCTCTGCATTAACATCAATTTGAAGGTGATGATGAAAATGGACAAGGGAAAATAAATTCAAAGTCAAAAAGTTACAAAACAAACAAAGCAAAAGATGAAAATGCTAGATAACTTGTAATCTGTATTAATGAACAAGGAAAAATATAAGAGAAAGAAAAAGAAAATCAGATAGAACAATGTCAAATAGCCCAGCCAAATGGCTCTCTTCCTCTGCCATGTCAGCACCTTTCGCATTATTTTTCTTAGTAGTATGTTTCCTATAGTCTCTATCCTGACCTTCCGCACCTTAGGCCCAAAACTCTCATTTGGATCCAACTGCCACGATCCTTTTTCATGGTTTCCAACATGATTAAACTTCACCTGGTTATTGAACTATTAGAAAGGTGGATAGAAGTAAAAGCATTATTTTCCTTTCTTCCCCCTTTGCTAAACTGGAAAGGTTAATAGAAACAAACAATAATACTTTTCATTTCAGTGGATAGAGGCGTGTTGATTTGTAAATTTTCTGTTGAAAATAGTACAGATCTTAATTTCAAATAGTTAAAACAAACAATAAAATGTCATTTAGGATTTCGTAAGTCAGATATGTTAATCTTACATTTCAGCTTAGCCAAAAAGAAAGGCAATATAAACACACTGATGTGAATATTACAACTTTAAATCCCGATCATTGATTAGTGTGAAACAAGTCATTTCAACTAGCAACGTTTTATAATCGTGTCCAGGAAGAAATGCACAGATGCTAACAAGAAGAGAAAGTTAATAGCACTTAATAAGGTAAAAAAGTTGAACACATCCCTCTAATTGCTAAAACCATTTTATATCGAATTTGTTGGCAGTGAAGACTATGTTATGCTAGATCAGGACCAAGTAAGACCATAATTCAGAAATCGCAAGGTTCTTTACAATGTACCCAAATGGCATTCATCCACTATAGTTACTAAAACCATTTTAACAGAACTTACTTGTAATTCCTCTAAGCATTTAACTTTGGGTGGAGGAGGAAGAAATTTATCCAACGGATCTACAGATTTATGCTCATCGTGATCTGCTTCTCCAATCTCTGCATCATCAGGTCCAATCACATCGTCATTATTCAAGGCATCAGATTTAAATGTCTCCGATAATTGGGGAGTGTTAGCTTGATCGTCAGGTGACAAAACCTGGACTGTTCCTGGTGGTATTCTATCTAGCAAATCACCTGCAATAAACAAAGTAACCTTAATCGATAATAATGAAATCGAACAGATACGACAAATCAATAGCAACTCCTGAAAATTGAATATAAAACTCGTATCTATTATTCCCATTCAAGTTCATACTGCAATTTCTAATCAATTTTAATAAATGACACTCAGAAATTCAATTTACCATTTGTCACATGAAGTTGGTCCCCAAACACGACTCGACCACTACCATCTATCTCTCCTTCCTGCAACAAAAAACAACTAACACCCACTAGTTACATTTCAGAATACAATCTAACTAAAAAGAAGGTAAAGGATCAAAGAAAAAGAAAGTACCTCAGGCTCAGGTGACATTGCTACTTCATCATGACCATAATCAACTATCGTAAGAGTTGCACTCTTACTAATCCTCAATTCCACCCGCTGTTGCTCCTGCGGCGGTGAAAACAACCGGCTCACCTGTGGCGTTCTACTCTTCTCCGTCGGAGTAAAACCATCAGCGGAGACTTCGTTCCCGGAATCAGCAACCGTCATTCTATCCGTGTCGGCTGCCAAATCTTCCTCCGCAGCTTGTCCAGCGGCGTCATCTTGCTGTTCCTCACGATTCACGTCTTCTTCTTCTGCGTCCTCCATTTCGTCGTCACCGTCGTCGTTGTACATGGACAATAAAGCGATACCTTCCGATTGCTTCTTCTTCGACGCCATGGAATGAGCTAGGGTTTTGAGAATTATTCAATAGGATTTCTATGGAAGAGTTAAAATTCGGAGAGGAGCAAGTTTTGATGTTCAACGAGTGAGAAAATTAGCTGTAGAGATTTTGGAGAAATTGAAAATAGCGGAAAAGGCAGGAAATTTTGGTTTAGAAGTGGAAACTCAACCAGAAGAAAAATGAAGATGAAAGAAGAACGATACAAAGAAAAAATTATTATTATTTTTATTTTAAAAAACAAAGGAAAGAATAAGAAAATTTAACCCATACCCCCGCACATATCCTCATACCCTACGATTTTTTAAATATTTTCAATTTTTTTTTCATTATTTTTTATTTTTTATTTTTTACTGAACAGTCAAATGAGTTAAAAAAATATTTTTTTTAGAAGTATACGGTGCTAACCAAATAACATTAGATAAGAAAATATATAATGTATTATTTTTAAACCGGATAACATTAGATAAAAAAATACTGAATGTATTATTTTCAAATCGAAAAATATAAGTAAAAGAAATCTGGTTGTGTAACTTAATAAACCTGATAACTTATATGTGTGTTATTCAGTTCAAAGAATGCAAACCGAAAAACATTGATATACGTTCTCCGGTTTGTGATTTTACACATTCCGGATAACATGTGTTAAAGTGTTATGGTTTTGTTTTTTCATAACCGGATAACTTTACCTCCAAGACTTCCAAAATGCATTTTTTAATTAATTTTTGTCACATTTATGTTAGATATGGGCATTTCTTTGATGTTATGCGATAAAAATCAGACATGTGTAGACACGACTGAGATATTCTTGACTACAGAAAAATTTGTCACGCTAGATGATGCGATTAGGTGGATTAGCGAGGTTGGAATCAAGAATAAAGTTACTGTTATAATAACTCATTCAGACACCAAAACTGGCAAGAGAGGAAAAAGTGACAAGGTTATACTTGGTTGTGATAGAGGTGGAAAATACAAAGAAGGAAATAGTGAAACACAAAGTGCTACCAAGAAATGTGGTTGTCCGTTCAAAATTAGGCCAACACCTTCAAAAGATGGTTTTGGTTGGAATACTAACGTAAAATGTGGACTTCACAACCATGATTTACCGGATAGATTTAAAGGTCATGCATTTGTAAGTCTGACTTAATGTTGATGAACAACAACATATTGTTGATTTGACAAAACGTCATGTTCCACCAAGACACATATTGTTGTCATTACAAGAACGGGATCTGGAGAATGTGACTCGAATCACCCAAATATATAAACATAAGATTAAGATTCAAAAAAACATCAGGGGTCATATAACGGAAATGCAATAGTTGTTTAAGTTGATAGAGGAATCTGATTATGTTTATTGGAGTAGGAAAAAAGATGAGTCGGAAGTTGTAAGAGATATCTTCTGGACCCATCAAGGATCAGTGAAGTTGTTGAATATGTTTTCTAATTGTTGATTATGGGCAGTACTTACAAAACAAATAAGTACAGGCAACCTTTGTTTGAAGTAGTTGGTATGACATCAACTGAGTTAACATTTGTTGTTGCATTTGCCTATATGGAATCTGAGCAAACAAAGAATTTGTGTTGGTATTGGATAAGTTGAAATAGTTGCTCACTAAGTAAGGGTTATGGTCACAATTGATTTTAACGAATAGAAACCTTTCTTTGATGAAAGCAATTGAAGCAGTATTTTCAATGACAATTAATATGCTTTGTTGATTTCACATCAGCAAGAATGTGAAAGCAAAGTGCAAGGAGTATGTTGTGAATGATATGAGAGAGTCGATAGAGAAGATATGTCATGAACTTGTAAGAGCTAATGATGAAGTGGAGTACCATCAAATGTTGCAACAGCTTGAGCATGCATGTGTGGATTTTAGACCATTTTTTGATCATGTGATAGACACATAGTTGACGCCTCACAAGCATAGATTTATTGAAACTTGGATCAATAAAGTGTTGCATTTGGGCAACATCATGACTAATAGATAAGGTGTTTGATTTTAGCCATAGTTTGTTTATCTTAATATTGATGATACTAAACTTTTTTTTTGTTAGGGTTGAGTCTGCGCATTGGAAACTGAAGCTGATATTGGAGAACAGTTTAGGAGATATGTGCAAATGTTGGAAGGATATGAATGGGAACATCAAGGTGCAATTAAGCAATATTAGAGATTCATTTCAAAAGAGTTTTTATGAAGTTGAGCATGCACACACTAGTCCATTTTATGAGAATTTGTGTGGATCAATATCTAGAGCTGCTTTGAGACACATTGCTGAAGAGTGGCACAAGGTTGACATGGTTGGTACAAACACCCAAATGTGTGGGTGTAGTCATAGAAAAGTATATGAGTTACCTTGTGCTTGTGAGTTAGGGAGATACACATTGAGTGGTGAACCAATACCAAATGATATTATTCATATACATTGGAGGAAGCTCAGCATGGAAGGTGAATAAGAGGTAGATACAGAGGATGAAGCAGAGGTAGACACGACCAATGCAATTGATGCACTATGGAAAAGGTTCAAGTCATTAGATGTGGCGGGAAAGAAAACACTACAAAGTAGGGTGTGTGAAATTACTTACCCCACTACAACAAAGATGGTACCACCGCCTGAAAAAATAAAGACCAAAGAAGGAGTGAATAGAAAAGGGAAGAAACTTGTGGGATATGATGTTTGTCGCGATCCTTCATATCATTAGTATGTTGATCAAGCACACATTAGTTCTTAAAAATCTTCAAAGAGACCATGTTCACAGTTATCCCAAACATCAAAGAAGAAACCATCTAATAGGTACATTGTACAATTTCCAGAGCATATCAGACCATTTATTGATGACATTGTTGATGTTAAGAGTGATGGAAAATATGGGTATAGAATGGTTGCATCATTGCATGGATATTGTGAGGATGGTTTGTCAATGGTTCGTCGTGATTTGGATAATGAAATTAGAGGTTCCAGAATCAGTCTATATGAGAATTTATTTGGAAGTCGCTTATCAAAAGTGAGAGACTCCTTGATGATATCGTCTTTAGGTACTTAGCCATTAGATAAATGGATGACATTACCAGATATAGGTTACGTGATAGCAAATCGGTATAATGTCATTCTAGTCTATTTGAGTTATCCTAGTTTGAGTTTCTTTCCTATGACGACTTCACATTCACCTAATGTGTCCATTTACTGCATTGGTTTTGTAAACCAAAATCATTGGGTCTAGGTAAACATTCATGTTTGTTACATTAATTAATTATCTTTTGTTTATGTCTTACTTACTAATTTTTCTTAACAGGTAAACATGAACGAAGGATTTCCCTTGCCACAAATCACATTAGATTGGAAGAAGTATCGCACATCAGATGCAACTTCTTGGATGACAAGATTTGCTAGACGGTTACAACATTAGCAGCAACTTATGTTTGTGCTATCAAAATATGTTAGATTATAGTTGGAATGCAATTTTTATATTTTGGCTTGTTTTTACATTTGATTCGTGTTATATTTAATTAGTGGTGTGCTTGGGTTTATATTACATAAAGAATATTATATAACTTTGAATAATACTATATAACTCTGAAGAACACGACATACATATGAGAAATAATACATATGTTAAAATAATACTACATAAGTATGAATAATAAATAATACATCAATCATCATCACTAACATAACATATCGGTCCACCATGAGGTACCGGTCCACCCCGAGCTATACGAAGTGCTTGAAAGTCCTCAGCAAAATCATCATCATCCTCTTCTACCCCGTGATGCTGTAGATAATGACTAAGCTCATGTGAAATACGTAACAACCTAGGATTTGATGGTCCTGCATCATAGACAAGAACCGGAGCCTGTCTGACCTCACCAACCGGGACCTGTCTGACCTCCCCCCAAGGTGGTGGTACCAAACGAGGATGTGACACCCTGTAGTACCAATCCAAGTAATCGGGAACCACATCATGCGGAGTATTTGCAAAATCGGCTGGACAGATCACTTCCATCACGCTCACATGATATGTAACCCACTCAATATCCATATCAAGTGTGTCAACATCAGGAGGCGGAGGTGGTATGTACTGCCTGTACCCAAATTGACGTAAATATATGTCAAATAAATATAGAACAATAGTACCATACCATTTTAGGCCACCCCTGTACAAGTATATATCATCAAATGGCCAATGTTGTATGTGATCCTCAAAAGGTGGCCAAATGACATCAGCAATTGCCAATCCATCCAATATAGGCCTGAGCTCATCAACCTTCTGAAGATTCTGAAGACATGGTTCTGGTCAACAAAGCTCTAAAGATTCTGAAGACTTCATTTATAAAGATCAAATTCTGAAGATAAGGTTCTAATAGAACAGGATCTGAAGACTCTAAAGATAATGCTTCTAAGAAACTGATAGGTATCAAGTTTGGAATGGTTTTCGTATTAATTTACGACATTTTTAAGCTCTTTCCCATACTTCTGATTATGAAAAAGCTTATTTTTTTAAGTGATTCTTGCATCAATGTATATATTTGGTATTTTTAATATATTTGTTAGTTTTCTAGCATATTTTGTAAAAAGGGCGCGACAAAAATCGGAAGAAAAAGCAAAGAAACAAAGAAAATCACGTGTCGAAGACTTCATAACCTTCGCCTAGCGAAGGAGAAGCGAAGAGGACGTTTTACCCGATGAAGGACCAGGAGAATCATGATTAACATTCCAGTAGCTACTGGAATTGGTTCGCTGGCTGATTCGCCTGGTGAAGGAGAGGCAAAAGGGATTCGCCTAACGAAGTTGTATTTCGCCTGGCGAATTCAGATATTTTCTTTTCAGCTTCTCTGCACTGTTTCTGCACGTGGTTGTACTAAAGGGATTCGCCAAGCAAATTTAGAGGCTCGCCCGACGAATTTGTCTGGGAAGAACTTGTGTATTTTAGTACCTTGTGTCACTTTTTGGAACATGTCTCACTTTTACTAATCTTTTGTAACCTAAAAACTCTTGT